TTGAAAAACAGACAAGTTTTGTTTTTGAGCAATTGATATTAATCAGGTTTGACGCAAACCAATCCAACAGATCAATAGCAATAATAATAATATTAATATAGTCTTTATTAATCAAAATCAACACTACAAAATGTCAGGTCTGCCGAACCCCATTAGGGCTTGTGTGGCGCGACCTGGCAATTGAGGTACATTCTTCACAATATAAAATCCAACACAGAAATCAACGACTAGTATTCAAAATTTAAAATGCTTATTGCTATCATTAAACAGTCTCTTAGCATTATTTTTAAGGTGATGATTCGATTTGGAAGGAAATATAAAGTCAGGTAATGCGTTGACTACTTTGGGAACATAACATGCCCTAATGCTTTACCCCCAGCGACTATGTATACGTGGGACTTCAAAGCGAGTATTACACCATGTTATACGTGGTGGAATTATTTGAATTATAAAATCCCAGCTTCAAAAGTAGTGCTGAACGACAGTTTGCAAAAAAATTCATGAAAACAAGAGAACTGAAGCGAGGCGAAGATATTGTCACTTGAACATAGCGATAAATCGTAAGACAGACTTTTCAACATCTCCTTCAAAATACCATCGATTTTATCATGTCATTGCAGGGAACAATTAAAAAAGAAAGCAATTGCGTTTGCATTATCAACTTCCTCACTGCAAATTGTAGAAACATTTTTCATGCAAAGCTGGCATGAAACACTTCGGAGACGCTTCGCAACAAAAGCCATATGCGTATTCCATGATAAATCAAAAAAAAAAAAAACCAAGATACCGAACAAAATTAACATACTGGACAGAAGTGCAGCAACAAGGAACACAATTAGAGCCATGCAAAAATAATTTCGGGAAGACAGTGAGGTTTTTTTAAGGGCTCCAAAAACAGACGAGCTTAGTTTTTGAAGAATTCACAGTTATTCTATTTTCTTTGAACCAATCCATAACTGCGACACCGTGCGTTTGTAGCATACGCATGGCGGGTTTAATATCGGTGTGACTGGTAAATAACAGAGTGTCATCCGCATATTGTAGCATGTTACTAGTGACAACAGCCGGAAGATTGTTTACACAGATATTGAATAATAAAGGAGATAGTATGGAACCCTTCGGCGCTCCTGAGAGGAGAAGAACTTTGACACTTCGAACATTACCCAAGGAGACCAACCTTGCAGGAGAGCAAATAAAGGACCCCTGAATCCTGCGAGGTACAATTTTTTAAGTAAACTTGTATGATTAACAAAATGAAATGCTTTTTTAACATCGAGGAATAGAGCAAAAACACAAGAGTTGTTATCGAACGACAAATGAAGGATGTCAGAGAACACGTCTAGTAAGCATGACGTACCACACCCCGTGACAAAGCCGTGCTGTGAAGATGAGGTTTCACAATGCTTATCAAGAAACCCATTCACAGAAACTAATACGTGTTTTTCTAAAATTTGCGATATCCACGGCAGTGTTGAAATGGGCCGATACGATGGCAGAAATTTACGAGGGTTACCTTTGTGGATAGGTACTACGATTGCTGTTTTTAGATCTACAGGCAAAGAGCCACAACATATAAACCTATTCATCATGGCTACTAGAACTTCTGCAATGACATCACAATTGTCACAGAGGTCTATGATAGATATACCATAATTTTTTGTGATTTATTTCTTTTGAAGGAAAATATAATGGAACGTAACTCGGCCCCTGAAATTGCAGGAAGAAACGCAGATGACGAGGCTATATTTATATCATAGGTGCTGGGCACATCGTCCCCTGTGCTATTACAAATGGATGAGGCAAAATATTGATCAAAAGAAGTAGCTGTGGTGACTAAATTGGTTCCGAAGCTCTTTTCCAACAGGTCAGAGGCACCTTTTCGAGATACACCGCAAAGCTCGTTAATTATAAACCACGTTTCCCTAGAGTTGAAACGCGCGATTTAAAGTTTTCCTGTGTAATGATTAGGTCTAACAGAGCGCATTAGTGCATTTACATGGTTCCCAGATACCTTGAATTTCGCTCGCAACTCCTCAGCTCTGGGTGCGCGCGGCTACACATCCATAGAGGTTCTTTATTTTTGATAGGCTGAAGAATGTTTTCGTTAAGCCATACTTCTTTGGATCTAAGCGTTTTTACATTAACAGTTACTGTGCTAGATTCATTAAATTTTTTAATAAGCGAGACTATTTTCGGATAGAGTTGAGATCGGTCTTCTTCACGTAGAAGAGACTTCCAATCATAGGAAGAAACAAGAGTGTTAAAAGTGGAGCGTTTAAGGAAGTTAAGTGTTTTTGACATTCGAATAGGTGTTTGCCCATGTTCACTAGGATTAATCTGAATACCAATGAAATATAGCGGTTAGCTAAATTTTGGTGATAACAAACAATTTAACTAGGTGCCCTAACGTTTATGTGGTCAATACAAGACGTCACCAGCTTGTCCCTCAAGAATTCTACACGGGTAGGAGTATGTATAGTATGACATAGTCACATACTAAAGGAACATTGCTTTTTAGGGTGTCGATATTCAAATCACCAATGATACAAATATGTTTTATAGCCGATGACGTATTCAAATAGCTTTTAAGTTCACCTAGAAAAGCAGAAATATTTCCCGGCGGCGGTCTATGCACTGGCAATAAGGACACTATAACATCAGATTTATTAATGTCAAACGCTATTGACTCAGCGTGACTGAAGTGTACAGGCACTTTTGTCGTTATCGGGGAGTTCCTTATGAAAACGCCAATGCCACCCCCAAGACCCGTGGGGCGCGTAAAAAAGAATTCATTAAAGCCATTAATAGAGAACAGTTGCAACTCTGCTTCAGGAATATTAGTTTCCGTTAAAATATAGACATCCACACAGTCATCCAGGTTCTCGACAATAAGCAAAAGTTGATCCCAGTGTTTTCTTACGCTACGTATATTCACAGCAACAACTGTAACGACACTAGTATAAGATAACTGCAATTCCCCTTTGAACAAACAGAATACGGGGCACTCAAGGAACTCTACTGTCATGGCTCTAGTTTATCCTTTTAAGGTCCTGTTCCTATCTGATACGGACAGACGTGGCCTCACCTGCTCGCTTAGCAAAGATCTTTCCATTGCAAACCCAGGCATATTTACAATGATTGATCTTGCCACGAGTTCTGGCTTTCCAGAAGAGATTAGGTTTCAACTTTGTTAGGTTATCACTAAATTATATCTGCGGAACAGACTTTTTAAGCACTAGCGTACGCAGTTTACCTCGTGCATTCAACCAGGATTCGCGAACTTCAGCTGATACAAATTTTATTAGGACCGCAGACGTTTTGCCTTCCAGACCGTGTAATTTATGAAAGTGATGATTTGGGAAGGGTGAAGGAAGGACAATTCTAATTCCTTAGCGAGATCAGTTACGTTATGCATCATGTTTTCGTTGGGAATTACAGGCCTTCCGTGAATTTCAGGGTTAGGAAGGCGAGTGTGCTGTTCGGTCTCGTTTAGCTCCGCTTGCAGTTACACGATACGGGCAGCATTCTCCGACACGGTAGTTGTAAGTAGGGACACCTCAACCGTAAGATATTTGACCCAAGTCTCGTTGTTCGTTGTCTTCTTTAGTAATGTATCCGACTCCTTCAGCTCATCAACTGTAACCCTTAATTTGGCTACCTGTCTCCAGAACCACTGTCAGAATTAGATGTGCCTTCGCCCCCTCAGCCTGCGCACAACTGACCCAATGTTGTCATGACCATAGCCCTCTGCTCTCAACCGCTCCCGCTGTCTTCCAAATGCGATCCCAACACGATGAATGCACGCCTTTTTTAGGGTATTACCTATTAGAGCTGGAGCGGTTGACCGCAGCGGGCTAAAGTCGTGATTACGTTGGGTCAGTATTGCTCAGGCTGATAGGGGGCACACATCACAGGTCCGGCATTGGCTTTAGGAAACAAGTAGTCGCAATTCCGAATTTTCATGGGTTCCCGCATAAGTTAAAATCTTCATCGGAGAGGTTTGATGTACGTGTTTTTTTAGGCAAAGTTTTGACTTGGCAAACTCCCACCTTTCAGCCAGGACAGGGAAGAAGTGTATGCAAAGGAGCATACAGATCCGTCGATTGGCTGTAAAAAGGAGGTTGCGCACAAAATCTCCTATGAAAGTGGTTTGTGCTATGTGGGCCAGACATGCCTGCATAAACGACCGTCTGCTTGAACATACGAGAAATGTGAGAAATAAGTGCCCAAATTCAGAACTGGCTAAACACATTGGTGATTGTAGTTTGTATTCCCCCTTGAGGAAAGAGGTCTCACTTTTGTTTAAAGAGACACGTATAAAATTATTAGAAAAACAAAAGAACTTCAGTATAGGTGACCACGGTAACTGTGTGCGTCAACCGTCTTTGGTGCTGGGAGAACGGGTCAAAGGCTTTTTCTTGCTTTGGTGATTTTGTGTTGCTTAGTTGTTGTTTCGGTACTTTGGGGGTTTCCGGCGAGCGAGGGAAGGGTGAAGGCTTATTTCATATGTGGGCTGGCTCGCGCGGTCCTGAGGAAACTTATCGTTCAGGCCCTTGGCAGCCGGTGCTGTTTTCGGGCGGCGGCGTAATGATGCTGCCTGTCTGTCTTGGTCTGTGGGGGATGCTTCTTTCCTCCTTTCTTTCTTCCTGATTTAATTTAGTGGGGACAGGTATTTATTTGCGTGATCCTGTGCATAAACTCAGCTGCTTCTTTTGTCTGTTCCAGTCTCAAGCTTTCTTTCAAAGTTCTTTCTTAGTTTTTATTCCGCTCTCTTTCTCATTCTCTGTTGGGTTTACCAATATCATTGCTTACGGCTTGCCGTATTCTGTTCTCGTCCTTAGTCCCCTGGCCGAGGCGGTCGAGGCGGCGCCGAAAACACTCCCTGGCAACGCCTCTGATTTCAATTTTCCCAGGTTACTCACATCGGTGGACACCCCGCGTCCCAGCCCAAGACGGTCACCAAATTTCTCCCCCAAAGAGAAAGCTCCGGAAAACCTCACCATGAGCGACTCCTGGGTCCTGCCTGCGAGCAGCACCAGCCGGGGCAGCTGGGGCTTCTCCCGGGGGAGGGAGTCCACGTGGGGGCCCGGGTTTGCCTCCAGGATGGTGTGCACGTTGGCGCCTCCAAGGCCGACGCAGTTGATCCCAACCAGGCCCCCCGGGAAGGGTGTGTGGCGGTCCACCACCCGAATGCTGCCGTCGTTCAGCGACGGGATGCCCGGGTTTGGTTCGTTGAAGTGCAGGTTGCCCGGAATGGTGCCGGTCTCCATGGAAAGGATCACCTTGGCCAACGAGCAGATGCCTGCGAGGGGACGCCAGTGTTACCATCATGGCATGTCCAACCACCCGCTAATACGTAACACTAACCAGCGAGACCCTTATTTGTACCCGCTTATAACTGATGGAAGCGATGTATGTTTTCCGTCTCTTCCTCGCGAAGAATACCGCCACGACCGTAACGCCTCGAGATCAAACTACAGGTGGGGCTACTCTCGCGCTACCATCATCACCAATATGTGGATAGGAAGACGGCTGCCTTATAGGCTATCTGTGGTTGCGACCAAGAACCTGCAGAATATCGCGTTTATTTCCTCGCACGGTACCAATGTGAAAGCAATTTTAACGAAAAATGGTCCGATACTGTTCTGTGCCTCAGTGCAATACCTGGTGCACAAAGGTGGGGGTCAGTTAACCGATATCCGGCGGCCGGCGCGCTAGAGAAAGAGTGGCTTTCGCAGTTAAGATTTACGAAGGAGCCGCCGATTCACGGGGTGACTTGCCCTAAACATTTAACCGCCGAAGGCTTCAACTCAACGATGCACAACAACCGAAGTAAGTGGAAAAGGAAACGGTTTACATAAGTGTAATGAGTGAACCAAAATAGAGTACGGGTAAAGCGTGTGGGTTGATGCTCCCTGCTCGGCAGTGTGTTTTTGAAGAGGAGGCGAATGCCACAAACATATTACTGCACGAGAATCCGACTTTTGAAATGTTGCAGAGGTGTCAGTCCTACGAACCCACCTACACTATGATACAGTAAAAGTGGCATCGACTAAAGCGGCAGCAGTGTTGTAGGCGTTATCGAAAAAAAAAGTATAGTAACGAAATACGTTCCTCGTTACTTGTAAATAAAAGAAACGCGTTACCAACCTACGTTACGTCAGAATAAGAGGAACGCGTTACCGTCGCCGTTAGCGATAGAAATCAACGCAAGTTAATTTTGTGTTACATTTTTTTAAACTATAAATTAAGGCGTATTACTGTTTTCACTGTACATCTATACGTAAGCGCCATATTTGAGAAACATTATGCTCATGCATAAGCTCAACAACTTTATCCTTTTACTATAACAGCTAAATACTCACAAGAAAAACGCAAACAAATAGAGAAAACGCAAACATTCAGACGAATTGGCGCATAAAAACATAAAAAAACAAGTTAAGTAATTTTTTAACTCTTTTGGGATAAGAAGTACCGAGTAACGTAAGCACGTTTTATTTATTTATTTATTTCAGTACCTTCAATGCCCAGGGGGCGTTACAGAAGGGAGTGGTGGAAAACATAAAAACAAACAACAGGTAGTAAATGCAGAAATTGAAACAGAGAATGAAAAATGCAGACAACGCCGGTTATTAAGAAAGTACAAACACTCAATGGCGGATCTGAAAGTGAAATCGTCGTTAATCATTGCGATGGAGGCGGGCAGGTGGTTCCATTCGTTACTATTCCTTGGGATAAATGAATCGAAAAACAAGTTAGTGCGACAAAGTGGCACGTCTACTTTGTTATGGTGGTCCGAACGAGATGAGACGTATGATGGCTGTGAAAAAAGTTCAGTTTTGAGGTGGGGGTTATAATGATATATTTTATGAAATAGCGTGAGTTGCGATATTTTTCTGCGCAGAGAGAGGTTCGGAAGGTTCAAGGTTGCCTTCATAGAGGATACACTAGATGAACGGGAGTAGTTCGACAAGACAAAACGCGCGCTGCGATTCTGTATCGATTCTAAGTTATTAGTAAGAAATTCCAGGCCTGGGTCCCACACCGAAGATGCGTACTCCAGTTTAGAGTGGACGAGAGTTTTGTAGAGAAGTTTTAAAGATGATGGTGCCATAGAAAAATTACGACGCAAATATCCAAGCATGCGGTTAGCGTTATTAGCTATATGTTTAACATGCATTTGCCAAGACAGATTAGCTGTTATGTGAACCCCTAGGTATTTGTATGACGCTACTTGTTCAAGTGCACCGCCTGAAAGTTGATAATCGTAAATGTTGCCACAAACGGTCTGTCGCGTAATCTTCATTACTTTGCACTTGTTAGTATTTAGACGCATTTTCCAGATATCACACCAATTAGAGATTTTGTTAAGGTCAGACTGAAGCACATAGGAATCGGAACTAGTAGAAATGACTCGAAAAATAACGCAGTCGTCAGCAAACAACTTGATGGAGGAGTTGATAGAGTTAGGAAGGTCATTAATGTAGATGAGAAAGAGAAGAGGGCTAAGCACAGACCCTTGCGGCACACCTGAAGTGACGGGGGACGAGGATGATTTGAAGTCGTTAGCAACTACAAATTGGGTTCTGTTAGACAAGAAACTTTCAATCCATGCGAGAATGTTAGGGTCAATATTTAATTTGCTTAATTTCAAACAGAGTAGCTGATGAGATACGAGGTCGAAAGCTTTAGAAAAGTCCAGAAATATGCAGTCAACATGAGATGCATTATCTAAAGCAGCAAAAACTTCATATGTAAATGAAATGAGTTGTGTCTCACAGGAGAACGTCTTACGTTATTTCTTAGTCTTGAAAAAGTAGGTTATTACGTTACCAAAAACTAACACGCTAGCGGTAACGCCGTTACTTTTAACGCGTTACTTTCAACACTGAGCGGAAGCGGCTCGCTCAGTGCCTGGGTGTGCGTCGGACGCACCTGATCTATTTTCTTGAAGTTAGGCTGGAAATACGCGGCAAATAGGACTGATGGCAACTCGTCAATTTACCGAAGGAGCAAGACGGACTATTGAACCCAACCAATCGCTTGTTCGCGCCCCATGAAATTTGCTTACCCTCCCTGTGGCGAAGGTTCCGTGCCACTGGACTCGTAAAAACAAATTTTCAACAAAAAAAACCCGGTACATGCAGACGGCATGATTACATCTCGGCTTTTAAAACGTTCAGTCAGTCGTTGACTTGAGGGAATCGATCCCCTTTCTTTTACCAGTGTGTGTTGAAATATAAAGAAAGCAAGCGCCACAGCACCACATGCAAGAAGCATAAAAGGTACCGCATCAATTGAAGAGATTATTTGACCAGTCATTCCAGTCACATGCAATGAGTGTTTGCAAGAGATAAGTTAGGTTAAGTGATGTAACGTCAAGGCCTCTGTGGTAATTGACCACATTAGTGGTGTCAGAAGTGCTTAGGAGACGAGGAGGGTAATTACACTGTTCTAGTGCCATTGCAAAAAGAAGTTCGGAGAGTGTGCGACTTTTTTTTCTTCCCTCATGTTCCCCTTCGCTCACACCGCTTGACCAGATGTGTCTACCTGACCTCTAACATCGTTTCCGGCGGGTTGAGTTACAAACAATAGGTATCCGGCAGGGCAAGCGCACGAAAGTTCAGCAATCGCGTCACCTTTTATGAGTTTCAGATCCACATTGGGGGGTACTCTGCGCAGAGGCGACGACCGCAGCACAAAACTCCGTACGTGTACGCTCGTCGACTTGGTCGTTGGGGCTACAGCGCTGCACTCAATATTGTGCCCGGCATTCACACGTTGTTCGCCTTCGACAAGGCACCGACTTCCGGGGGCAATGTACTAGTACGCAATGGCACTGAAACTGAAACAACGAACTGCATAACTACACCAACCCCAGTCGCAGCGTTATGTAAGTATCTGGCTTGGCATTCCTTGCCTTCGCGTGTTTCCACGATCGTGGGACGATACAATATTTTCGAAGAAAGAAGCATTTACAACGTAAATAGCCCAGTTTAACCGAAAACAAGCCTTCATCGTAGTGAGGATCCATGCTTCAACGTGCACCCTTTCGGGATCTTGGACGCCACACTCGTAATGTTTCCAACATCGGCCGCACGGTGGCTTCTCTGTTCGATCTCTAGGCGAAGAGTACTGATTATTTTAGTTAGACCATAGATAGGTCACGTCGAAATAAGACAACAGCCTTTCTCCTCAGATGGGGCTTGCGGTAAATAAATCTCTCGCGAAATCGAAGCGATATACTAACCGCGTAGTGCCGCGCAAAGAATCTTGGTAACCACTTGGTCACAGTTTCGGTTATTACTTGCCAATCTCAGTTCACCACATCCATGTTACAGCCAAATATTATACGTGCATTTTTGAATATCTGACTTTCCCTAAATTTAAAATACTGTAGGTGTTGCCTACCTATATAAACCAAATGTTGGAGCACTTTTCTTCTCTTTTTGGCGGGGAAAGGAAGGGGTGCTCCTGACGTGCCAGAGAAAACAGGACTACGAAGACACGAGGGAGAAGTAGTCTTTTCCAGTCATCCTGTTTTAGCTTCTCCTCAATGGACTTTTTAAATTAATCGTGAGCTTGTGCAAAATAATGAAAAGTTACTTAAGATACCATACTGAATATTAATTTTAAAATCTTTTATTGAAGTTACTTTCCCTACAAACCATATTGAGTAGAGTGCAAATACATGGAGACATACGAAGATACTTGGCAAGTATGTTGAAAGCTAGAGATATTAGAATATGAAGGCAAAAGAGGATGCTCTACTTGGGATGACCTCGCTAAAAATCACAATTTCTTGCGATATTTATGCATTTCATGAAGTGCCTTAGCTGCTGAAATCTAAGTTTACTTTCAAATAATTCGGGATATGCAATATAAGGGGTGCAGAAAGATTTGAGAAACAAAAGGGACTCACATATTGTAGACATGACACGACGCATTCCGCAGTAAGTTCCATAATATACCTCGCCGTGTTTTGGGAGATTCCACACGTAGTGCGGCATTGCACAGGGATAAATGCGTGCTTCCGTTGAGATAAACACGGATTTCTTCCAGATTACATCTCTCAACAATACCGTAAAGCTACCCTGCCGTATTGCGCTTCTTCGGCCACGTAATTCGATAGCGGACCATCGCATGATCAACAATTCGCAACTTGCTCAAACATTGAGCACGAAATATGACTGGCAGGCAGCGATACTCGAATCGCTTCAAGCCGGAAAGCCACTTTAGCAAATGATGGTGTTGCATGGCTAGAAGAAGACACGGATTTAGGGGCATTACCAAGATGATCGC